GGATTCATCCAACTTATTTATTCATCACTTATTTTTTTCATTTAACAAATATTCAAGGAGCAATCAGAACTCACAATGTGTAAGCCCCAATCACTGCCACAAGGATGCATAGACAAGTGGAAACATGCTTCCATAATCCCCAAGTTCTGGCTGATATACATGGGCCTGTGTCCCTCAATAGGTGGGCACTAAGGGCTGCATTGGGTGAGTGAGTGAGTGAGTGAGTGAGTGAGCGAGCGGTGAGTTGCCAGACTGAACTGGAAGGCTGAACATTGCCTTATTTCAAGTGAAATCTTCTTTATCCATATGGTATGAGAATCCCTGTAAGAAGAGCCATGGCTAAGGACTAGCTCACCTGTTCTGGAGAAGCCTGCCCCTGATGGAGTGGCTTGGGTTAAAGGGCTGATTAGGATGGTGGGTGTGGTATTTGAGAGACCTGCCCCTCCCCAACTCTAGGCAAGCTGGCACCATGCTGTCACACAGTTCTGCACTGGATTTTCCATCCACCCACCACTGAGCTGGTCCATTCACCAGCATCAGGTCTCGGCAGAGAGGGAGCTACACACTTCATGTAGAAACAGGATGACTCCCAAGGAGGAAAACCTAGAACAGCCACCTTCCTGTCCTTAGTCCCACCAGTAAGCCTTCCTCCCTACCACCCGTCCATCTGCCTTCCCACCATCCTGTTAGCATTCTGGGCTGCCTCGGATGGTCTTTCTGACCTTCACTTTGCTATTAACAAAGGTAATTTCCACAGAGGACAATCAGCTAGGTAATTCATTGAGCGAGTGTGAGTAGCTTCACTTTATTAATTGTGGCACAAGGATAGGAATGATCCCCAAGTTCATTTCCTGTTAGAGGGCATGATCAGGCCTGCTCTCCAAGATCAGGCCTGCTCTCCAAGAGGGAGGAAGGCTCACTATGATTTTACTAGATCCCAAAGTCACTGCTCTTCCCACTGCTATTCTGCTCTGAGTCACCTCTGTCCTCCCTAGACAAGTGAGGAGGAGGAGAGAGGGCATTGGAGAGGGTGCTCTTGCAGACAGTGCCTGAACATGGACTTGATAAACAGGATGGCCTAATGCCCCCTCCCCCCAGTGATGGAGTCCCAGAGTCTGCAGAGTTGGTCCAGAAAGCCCTGTGCCTCTCTCTGTAGAAGAGGCAGGCAGCTCGGGCAGATTATAGAGGGCCCACAGAGGTAATGGAAAGTGCAGTTCACTCAGGCGCACACGTTCAGAGTGTCTCAGATAAGCTTTCAGAAAGGGGAAATAATTGTGTGCTAATTGGTCTGTTGACAGAGACCAGCCTGCCATCAGAACGCCCTGATGGATCTCAGGTTCATTAGCACATCCAGTTTTTCATATATACCATTCTAGCCGCCTACTCTCCTCCCCTTGCCCTTCACTTCCGGCTGCTCTTGTCCTACCAGATAGGACACCTGCCGAGCTGAGAGTGAGTAAAATGGGCTTCTAATTGTGAGCAGTGGGGCTGCTTGGGAGAGCAGGGCCGATGCCAAGTGTGCCGAAAAGATCTGCAAACTGAATCGAAGGCTGCTGCTGTGAGCAATTTGTACAAAGCCCTCCTGGGATGCTTTGTGAGAACCACTTCCTTTTGCCATCTCGGGATCCACCTGAACTTTGTGTGGGCTCCGGAGCATCTCGAGCCACCCCCCGCCAAGTCCTTCCTCAGCCTTTGATTAAATAGAGGGTGAGTTGCAACTGAGGAACAGGCCCCCTCCCCTCCTTCATGCCTCTGATCCCATCCTGACACTTATGGGCAGGATGGATATGTAGTCAGCCCTTTATAGTTTACAAAGTGTTTTCATGTGAACTATATCATTTGGTGTCACTCCAGCCAAGAGTAAGGGGTTATATTCACAATATTTGTGGCAGGAAGGACAGGGTATGCCAAAGTAGGGTTCTGGAAGCCTCCTGAGGTGCATTAGCCCTTTGGTTACTACCAGGGGGGCATCTGGAGTGTCCAGGGGAGGGTGAGATGGTTAGGGTGGCACACAGGGGGTTGTGGTGAAGACCGTTTATCAGCCAGGATGGAAGTGTTTTAATATTTTAGTAACTATGTAGCCATAGCAACTGAATATAAGCCTGGGTCTAGGTAAGTCAAATCGTTGGTAACTCCATGTCAAGGAGCTCAGTGACTCCTCAAGGTCATAAAGATAGGAAGCATCTAGGCTGAAACCCAATCCCAAATCTCACTTGAGTAAGTTTGTTTCTCACTTAACCATGCAGCCCACTGTCACCTATTGAGCATTTGATTGGCCTTACTATGCCAGATACTGTGAAGAGACCCAGAACTGTGTGCACTCCGCAGTCCCACTACTCTAAGCCATCTTGTCGTGATGGGTGTGGGAGACAGAGATGGGCATGTAAACAGCTGTAGTATAATGTGCCACGCCCAATAGTAGAGGTGTGTGCTGATCAGGGTCCACCTTGCTCTCAGAGGAACATGTTGGATAATCAAAAGGGACCACCATCCTTGGAAGCCTGTTTTTGGAACATCTCCATTCACACATAAAATGTGAGATGATTATTCAGCTTCCACTGGGATGACTGACCTGAAGTTTTCCTGTTGAGGAGCACAGTGGATTCTCCCATGGAATGTAATTCAGAGAACCATGAGAAAACAGAGATCATACAGTGTTTTTCTCCCATCTTCCCTCCTCCA